CACCCCTGCAACCCCTACGACCAGCAGGGTGGTGGCCAAGGCCCCCACTCCTTCCAGAAAGCTTCTCTGACTCCACAACCCACCCACTGCCCTGAAGAAGGTGTGCGCTGTGATTCAGCTTTGTATTTAATATTCACATGGGTCCCAACGAGTTGTGTGCTTCACCGTGAAAGGGACCCTCTTACGGCCACATGTCCTCCCACCATAGCTCTTTACTGTGGACGTGACAGCCACCATGGTTACCAGTGAATCAGAATAGTCAGTCTGCCTGGGAAAGCTCCAGGCGGGGGGTCAGGGGGCGGGGGGAGGGCCAGCACTTAGAGCAGGGATGCTCTGGTGCCTATACCTCTTCACATCGCAGGGCTGGCTACTGAAACTGTGGCCCTGGGCCCTGCAATCTGCAGGCCCTGATGCAGGAGTATGATGGAGACTGGGCTGCAGAGGAGCGTCCCCACGGGCAGCGGGCCAAGCTGAGTCCCTCCCCATTCTCCCCTGGGCCCAAACTCATGGAAAACCAAGTAGGCAAAGGTCCTGGGATCAAGCATCCTCTAGGACTGTCCTAAGGAAGAAAACTGTAAAGGAGGCAGACCCACAACCCAGCAGTTCTCAGACCAAGCCCACCCCCTCGCCTGTGAGCACAGACCCTGAGGTGACTCCTCTGGCTGGAGTGCCTTGCCTAGGGGACTGAGGAGCCCACAGCTGCCCTCCAACAAGGGACGTGAGGGCTACCAGAGCTCTCCCCACTACATGACTCGGGTGTGACATGCACTGAAGAGCCAGCAGCACAGCCCCTGTGAAGGTGGCTCAGCATAGCTCTGGTCTGGGCTGCCTCTAGGAATCTTAGGGCACACGGTGGGAGGGCTCCACATACCTGCCATGGAAGCATGGGCACAGCCTCTCCACAGGTTTCACAGAGGAGAGATCCATGGTCAGTTCGCTTCAGAGCAGAGTTAACTGCATCAGACCTTCCCCAATAAGATTATATCATATGCTCTGACATGAATGAACCTCGAGGACATATGCTAAGTGACATAAGCCAGACACACAAGGACAAATACCATGACCCCACTTATAGGAGGTCCCTGGAGTCCTCAAATCCAGAGGCACAGGAAGTAGAAGGGTGTGTGGTGCGGGTTTGATGGGGACAGAGCTTTGGCCCAGGAAGATGGAAAGAGCTCCAGAGAGGGGTGGAGGGATGGTGGTGGTGGGTACACACCAGTGTCAGTGTGCTGAATGCTGCTGAGCTGTAGTTGTTAAAGTGGTACATTTTGTTGCATATATTTTACCATAGTTTAAAAGCAAACAACAACAAGTGTTTTTGCCTGGCTTCCAGGAGGAAAAGGAAGGGAAAATGAAATCAAGAGACAGGCTGCCAGAGCTCATTGGTCACAGGTTCCCCCCGCCCCAAGTCTCACTGCCCAGTGACTTCACCTGAGACTGGGGGCTGCTTCCCCTCTGGATGGGGAGCTCCCCTAGGAAAGCCTTCTAATGACCCCAGCACCACACCTCAAGGGCAGAGATGCAGGAACAGCAGAGCACAGGGTTTGCAGAAACAAAGGCAGAGGAGAGGGGGAGCTGTCTGGGTTTCCAGACTCTTCACTCTGTCCTCTCCAAAAGAACCAGAGGCCCAGCCCGACTGCTCAGGCTCCCACTTGTCTGTGAAGCTGCCCTGAGCCCACCTCACCTCTGCTTGCGTTTGGAAAATTTTTTTTCCTTTTTTGGGCAATTTGCCTCTCCTCCACACCCACCAGTTACAGGGTATGTGGGTGTATCGAGAAAGAAATTTCCCAAAAAAGGAAAAGTGATCCCGAAGGTTAGTCCCATCTCAGAGCTGCCTGGAAGAGACAGGCAACAGTCACCTCTGGAATCAAACTAGCCTGAGGCCCCAGACCCAGCAGGAGACCCCACACAGAAAGGTGTCTCCAAGCAGCCCTCCAGGGACCAAAGCCCCCTCCCACTCGGAGTCCCCACCTGTGCTCTGAGCCCTCTGGAGTGTGTTCTCTCTCTGCTGAGGAACTACTAAGAGCTTCAAGGCAGAACACACCTAATCCTTCCCCCAGGAGTACCTAGGTCCCACCTCCTCCCCATGCTTAACAGAAGTCCTGCAGCAATGCAATTACAAAATTGATGATTTCAACTCAACAATTTTGACAGGACCTGTGCTCCCCAAACCCCAGGTGAGACAGTACAGAGAGGGGGACCAAGAACTATCGGGGGCCTAGGGACGCAGGACAAAAGGCCAGTTGGTTAGACCACACTTAAGCAAATGAAAACAAATAGTAATATTATAAATGTAAAAGCCCAAGTAACAATTAGAAACAAACTGTGACTAAGTGTTAAGGGTCTAGCCATAAAATGCTACAATTTATTACATGCAATAGATTAGCATGGGAGGGATGGGGCAAAACTAAATTTGGCAAGGGTGGCAGATTAGCAGTTCGTCTGATCTCAGAGGCCTGGCTAGTGCTCAGATGTGGAGCCGCTGCTCTCGGAGACCAACACCCAGATGACTGTTACACAGGCCGGGGTGGGGATGGGGTCTGACTGCCCTGAGCAGCCGTGAGAAGTGGCGCCCGTCTGCTCCCTGGCTGTGAGTCTCATGGGCAGCTCTGCCGGCCCTGCAGCTGCCTGATGTGCAGGACCCCCACAGCAGGGACAAGCCCAGGACCACTCCACTGGCATAAATCATCCCAGCCGGCAGGCTACCCCGCCCCGTCACCTCCCCCACTCCCCAGGAAATCTCATGGGGAAGTCCTTCCGAACCTTGTAGGAACAGAGATGATAGCAAGTCAAACATGCCTAAATCTCTTTAAAATAACATAAGTAAGCCACTGACCAGGCCACACAGGGTCTCTGGGCCAGCACTGGCTGTGGGGCCGTCCTGGGCCCTGCACTCTGTCTGGCGGCACATGGCCTCCATGAGGTCCAGCGGCACCCTGGCACCGCTGAGACTCAGGACAGCAGCTCTGACCTGCAGCCCCAGAGGCCTTGCACGGCAACTTCGGCACAATGGTCACCCGCTCCATGTGGAGGCGGGAGTCAGCTGTGAAGAACAAGGCCTGACACAGACCACAGGGTGGCAGAGACCGCTCCAGCCCTGCAAGCCCCACAGTGCCAGCCTCCAAAGGCTTTCTCAGAACACCCACCATGGGGGCTTTCCTAAGGCAACAGGGAAACATGCCACTTTACAGGTGTTTCAACACAACGGCTACTGCTCCCTGGCACAGAGAGAAATGAAGCTCCTTTACCCCTGGAGGGGCCGTGCGCCTGCACCAAGAGCAGCGCCGGTCAACCTCTTCACCCACGAGCAGGGCCAACTCCTCCACTCGGCACCCACCACCCTCCCCACAGCCCTGCTTTTCCAGGGTTTCCTTCTTCTTGAGTGCAGGACACCCCACCTCTGCCCAAGCATCGCAGGACAAGCAGGCGGCGGGGAGAGCGGAGGGCGCAGGGGGCCATGCAGGACCAGCTCTCAGACCAGTGTGCGCTGTGTGTCTACCCAGCAGCCGCCCTCAGGCTGTGCAGCTGAGCTGAAGAGACCGCGGCCTGTACCAAACCCCAGCTGGACCTAAAGAAAGATTTCCTGATCAAGATCATCAGTCTCCAGACTGAGTCCAGGAACTGTTTTTCAGGATGGTTCATGGCGCAGTCCTGCCTGGATGTTGTCCAGTGAACTCCGAGGCCCCTTCCCCACCGTCGGTCTTGGCAGGACTTCAGAGCAGTCAGCCAGGCACAAGGAGGACAAAGGAACCCCCATGCATCAAGCCTAGCTCCCACCTCAGGGCACCTGCCGGGGTGATGGCCAGATCGGGAGAACACACAGGGCAGTGCAGTGTTTGGAGAACACAGCAAACGACATGTGTGTCCAGATGAATCCACTCGCCTGCTGCTACCTCCAGCAAATTCTACCCTACCCCAACCCTCACAGTGCCACCAACCCAGTACTTCCTGCTGCTCTGGACACAGATGTGCCCACAGCAAAGCCCCTGCAGCCCATCCTTGTTGACAAATATCCTCATCAGAAAGAAAGAAGAAGAAAATTCTTTTTTAGAAGGAAACGAGGCACTAGTCAACACAGAACAAAGTATCGTACCTATCAATTGCATCCTTAGATACCAGACCCATTAACATGTCCCGTAAACAAAATGATGACCACACGGCATCAAAATGATGAGGACCCCCCACGTGGAAACAGCACTGATGACCTGGTCATGTACCCACTGTGACAACCACCAAAACTCCACGTGTCCACCAGACTGCAGCGTCCTCTGCTCACACTCCTGCAGTAAGCAGATGTACTCTGAAAGGGTGGGGTCCACCATGCTACCTACACATGTGAATGGATATTCCCGAACCATCCCAATTAAAAATGCTGCACACACACACTCAGGAACAGGAAAAGGTACTCAGTTTTGGAATTCATACTTTAGATTAGTTAGGAGAGACCGTCTCCTTTAGAGAAAAGGACAGGAGACAAAATGAGTGGAAAAGAAAAGTCAGAATATTCCACCAGGTTGGTAAATATCCCTCCAGCTCAGGAAGCGGGAAGCAAACCAGGCAGGTGGCAGGACAGGACGGGGCCTGTACACCCCAACTTAGTGACGGGAACACCAACCCCACGGCCAGGAGGCCTCTGAACAATAAATGGGATGAGCGACACCAATCACAGCCACAAACCTGAGAGGAGCCCTGGGCCAGGGCAGGGGGGCCTGCAGAGCCCAGCAGGCACAGGCCTGCCCAGGGCCACCCCACCTGCCCTGCAGCCCCACCACTTCTAACCGAGGGGCTCCTTCTCCCTGAACAGAAAGGACCTCCTCCCTCACTACTGACTCTCACCCGTGGCCACAGAAGGTGCCTCAAAGCAAAGGTCAGGGCTGTTAAATGCCACTGCAACTAGCTTGCACAGTGCTTCAAAATTCCAGGCTTCGGCGCAGAAGCCGCAGTGAGAGCGAAAAAGGCCTGGCGGAGGCTGGGGCGGGGTGGGGAGAGAGGACACTCACCATCTCGTCCAGGGCGTAGCGCAAGAGGCCGTGCTCGTAGAGGATGAAGAACCGGCGCTGCCATTTCTGCAACGGAACACACAGGAGTTGGGAGGGTTCTGGCCTGCCTCCTCATGCGGAGCCCCTGCACCTGACAGGCCTGCTGCTAAGGCCCGCTGGCAGCACAGCTTCCAATGCTGGGGCCGCGGGGGTGGAAGAGCAGGGCCTCGTCAGCCAGGACTGCGCCAACGAGAGGCCCCAACCACCCAGCAAGTCTTCAGTTACTGAGGCTGAAAAGGCCGCCTGGTCTGTTTCCATCTGCGAGCTCCTCCTGAACAGGAGTCATGCCCGGATCAACTTTCTCTATTCCTCATGTACCCAGCACAGAGCTTATTACACAATACGTGTGAATTCATAATTTGTTAAACTACCTGACCTGATTATGGGATAACCTGAGAATTGCTAGGCACTGATTCCCCACTTCTGAAAAATCTGGAAAAGTGATGTAAAAGGGTTGTTCCAGTGAGCCACAGGGAGTGTAAGGAAGGGGAAAGTGAGCCAGGCTCCAAGATTCACTGAACAAGAGAGAAGTAACAAAAATCAAAACTGAGGAGGGGCAACCAGTGGGAACAGTTCTGATATCCAGGGAGGGACTGACTAGAAAAAGGGGCCCCTCTCTGCCCTCTACCCAAAGGCCAGGCCACTGGGGCTGATGGGAGGTCCAACAGCACTGACATGGGGAATAGAGAGGCCCTTCCTTTGAATGTGTGGCGGCAGGGGGCATGTCTAGAACATGAGACTGCTGGTCCCCAAATCTCAGAGCTCGTCATGAAGACCCATGATCTATCTTCAACATTTCCACAAGTCCAACAAAATTCATACTTCTGCTGGAAATAAGGCCACAAGAATGAACTAAAAAAAAAAGAATGAACTAAAATATCATGGCTCTTTGCTTTGGACCAGAATTATATCATTTATAATAATGATTTTCCCATCAGAAGCTGGAAATGGCAATTATGTGACCTAAATACAAAACAGGAGAAAGGGCTGCCCCCCAGTTACTGTAGCCACTGAACACATAGCCCCCGTGGTCTTCACAGGGCACTCACATGGCCTTGCAAGAGGGCCTGCACCCTTCCTGAGAAATATTCCCAAGGCTTCTGTTGGTTGTTTTTAAAATTAAAACCCATTCCAGAGGAAGCTTGAAGACCCCAGATACAAGGCATGTTCTACGGGTACCAAAGCCCCATCCCAGACACACACAGGATGGGGCAGCAGAGACCCAGAGGCAGGGAAGAGGCCCCCCGGGATCAGGGGCTGGCAGGGGTGGGTGGCAGTTCCCGGAGGAGCATGCATGGAAGAGGAAAGCGAGCCAAATGGAGCCAAATCCAAGGGGATCCCCGACAAAGGAATAAGCACTGACTGGGGTGCTGCTGGTCTGACATCTCCCTGCTCCTCTCAGACCTGCTTGAGCAGCAGCCTGTGTTCCGCAGGACCCACCCCCCAGGGGCTGGGTGCCCAGCAGAGATGGGACAGAAGCCAAGTGGGCCCTGGAGGCCGCCTCCCTTCACTCGTGCTCATCTGCTGAGCCCCCAGCTGAGGAGGAAAGGAGGGGAAGATGGGGCTGCAGGAACAGGACGCCAGCACTGAAGGAACTGGGAGCCTAAAGAGCAGAATGCAAACAAGTGCTGAAATGCCCTCTGACCTTTTCCATTTAACTGTTTCTAGAGCTGACCCACAGAACAGGTAGCGTTCTTCTGAACGAAGGGTGAGGTGCAACTATGTGTAACAAGGCTGTTCCTGTGGGCTCTGCAAGCTCACTGAGTAAGGGTTTCCTGTGGCTCCTACCATCCTAGGACCCACAGCTCACCTCCCTCCTCCCATGGTCCATCTGCCTCAGAGGGCCCTCTCTGGTGAGTCCTCCCCCAAGAATTCACTCTGAAGTCCTTACCCGAGACCGGTGCACTGGGTTATCGAAGTCCGTCCCATCTGGAGCCAGGAGCAGCCAGCCGCCGTAAATGGGCTTTGCCTAGAGGAGAGAAGGAGGGCCGGTCATCAGTGACCTTGGACAGGTTCAACGGGCAAGCTAATGCCAAGCTGACAAGTGCCCGCTGGAAGAGAATCCACCTCTGCTCCACGCCCTCCATGCATGTGCCCACTCCCAGCAGGAGACACACTGGGGAGCAAGAGGCTCCAGCAGGCCTGGAGCACCTGGTATGGAGACAGGAAAACGAAACCTAGCGGGAGTCTGGACAAATGGAGAACACAAGACTCCTAAGAGCAAACACCACCCTGCAAGTTCCTGATCAACCCACCAGGGTCACTTTCTTCATCACCACGTGAGTATCAGGCACCAGGGATAGCCTGTGACCAGCATGGCCAAAGGCCCTCATCCTGAGGGTACAAAGCCTGGGAGCAGAGACACTGCTTCAGCCATCACCACAAGCACTGGCCAGAGAATCATCAACTCACCGGCTGCATGACCTTGGGCTGAAAACCTTCCCAGTTTCTATCTTCATGTGCAAAAGGTGCGTGTAACAATAATTGTATCTGCACCTCACAAATCTTATGTGACGATTGATGAAACACAGCCCAGCACAGGAAAGAAAATGGCAAGAATAAAAAAAAGAAAATGGCAAGACCGCTGGGAAAACAGTCTGGCCGTTCCTTAAAAGGTTACACTTAGAATCCCTATGGCCCAGAATTCCACTCCTAGGTGTACACATACCGAAGAAAACTGAAAGCAAGTGCTCAAGTAAAAACCTGGATGTGACTGTTCACAGCAGGACTATTCACAATTGCCAAAAGGTAGGGACAACCCCAGTGTCCATCAGCAGATGTATGGAAAATTTGGCCCATGCATTCAACGAAACAGCATTCAGTGATAAAAAAGGCATGAAGTGCTGACACGTTCGTTGCAACATGGCTGAACCTTAAAGACCTTATGCTAAGTGGAGACACAAATGACCGCAAGTTACATGATTCCACTTATATGAAAGGTCCAGAATAAGGAAATCCACAGAAAGAGGAGGAAGATGAGTGGCTGCCAGGATGTCGAGGGAGCAGGAAATGGGGAGTGGCTGATAACAGGTGTGGGGTTTCTTTGGGGGTGATGAAAATGCTCTGGAATTAGATAGTGGGGTTATTTGCATGAACTTGTGAGTATGCTAAAAATTACTAAATTGTATGCTTTAAAAGGGCTTCCCTGATGGCTCTGTCAATGAAATAACAGAGAATTCTCCTGTCAAGAGAATTCTTGAGAAGAATTCTGTCAATGCAGGAGACCCAGTTCGATCCCTGGTCTGGGAAGATCCCTTAGAGAAGGAAATGGCAACCCACTCCATATTCTTGCCTGGAGAACCCCATGGACAGAGGAGCCTGGCAGGCTGCAGTCCGTGGGGTCACAAAAGAGTTGGACACAACTTAGCAACTGAACAACAAATGCTTTAAAAGACTGAATTTTATGATATGTCAATTATCTCAAAAATTGTATAAGAGGGGTAAAAAAAACAACCCGAGTACAGTGTCTGGCCTAAAAAGCCTTAATAAATGATGGCTAGTTCTGTATTTCTTACATCCAAAGAGTGCCCCCTCCCCCGAAACCCTGACAGTAGGAGTTCAACAGGAGTTAAAGGATGAAGACAGACACTCAGACTCCACCTCTCTTTTTGGCCACACCAGACCTGAAAAAGGGCGGCTGAGGCACAATCAGCAAAACAAATCAAAACCCAAACCCTCTGCCTGCTGTTTACACATAGACTACCCCTGGGAGAGCCTTAGGGTCCTCTTGGCATGCGCTTTACTCAACATTTCCAAACTGGGAGGCCCTGTCACATCACCTAATTTTGAAAAGCTGTAGAATCTGTGACTCGCAGAGGGCAGAACACTTGCCCGAGGTCACAGAGCATGTGGGGTGAGCATGTCTAGGCTCCCACAGGGCCTTGAGACCCAGGGAAAGCACTGGCTTCTCCCCGTGAACAGAAAGAGGGCTTTTGGGCATGGGGTATGGAGTAGGCTGAAGGAAGGAAGCAAGACTGGCTTTGATGAAACATGGGAGTAGGTGCTGGCAGGGAACCAGGAGTTAGAGGGACATGGCCCAGAAGGACCATGGAGTATGTGGGATGAAATACTGCCTGGGAAAGCAGAAGCAAAGAGAACAGAGGTCTGTTTTCTCAGCAAGCACCAGAGGCACCCAGCCATCCCCCAGGCAGACAAGCACACTCGGTATCTCTCTGCCCCACTCGGAGATGCACACACAGGACAGAGGGGTTGGCACTGGAGAATGACCCCGTGTACCCCAGCCAGGTGACTCCCCACCACAGCCACGGGGCCTGCAGGTCTCTGACCTGTGACATCAGGAGGTTAGAGCCCAAGGCCTTGTCTCCTCAGTTTCTGTTTGGCTTCGATCACATACCATCCTCCTCTTTTCTGGCTCCAGGGCTTTGGGGTGACCACATTGTCAGCTACACCTACCTGTCCTTTCCTCAAAAGGGCAGTGAGAGACATGGGCTTGGCCAGGTCCCTCAGAATTTGACCTGAAAGCAGCATCATTATTTGCTCAACAAACATCTCCTTGGCGAGCCTACCAGCACCCACCTCATCTGGTGTGACTTCCTTATACGAATCACCCCAAACCAGACCCCACCCAGGTGAGTAGGTAATCCTGAAAGATGGGAAGGCTGGGCCAGTGGAGGGCATGGGGCAAGAGACAAGGCCTCCAGCAGCCCGGGAAGTGGGCAGTGTTCTGCAGGAGCATTTACCAAGGCAAACCCTCCTGACAAAGGGCAGAAGGGGTTGCCCAAGACAGAGGGGACGGACGGGCTGCAGGGGGTGATGGCTACAGGGCACAGGGTTCCTTTTGGGGAGGATGAAAGCAGTCTAAAACTGACTGTGATAATAGTTGCACATCTCTGGGAATACATTAAATCACTGAACTGCACAGTTTAAATAAGTCAACTATATATGGTAGGTGAGTTTCATCTCAATAAAGTTATTTAAAAAAAATCATTTACCAAGGCCTATGTCAGGCAGTGAGAAAACAGAGATAAATAAGAAACTGCTCTCCCTCCATGGGTTCACAGTCCACAACAAGCAAACAGGGAACAAATGACTTGTGAGGAGGCAGTGGTCAGGGAGGGGAGCACTGGTGATCATGGGCACAGCTGAAGCAAAGTCAGAGGCGGGAGCCCGTTCACCAATGGTGTTGGTTCGGCTGCCACCCTCCCACAACTCGTCAGCGCCTCTCACTGAGGGCTCCAGACCTGGAACCCCTTCCACAAGCCTGGAAAGCCGCACCCAGGGACACGCGCTCTGAGCCTCCTGCTCCTCAGGGAACCTCAAGCTAGACATGTCCACCTGTCTTCGGTCCATAAGAAGGGTGCCCCAGACAAGCAGCTGCTGCCCCCACTATTTCTCAAAGAGTCTAAAAATGGCAACAGCCAACCCGGCCATGCCAGGGAGTCCAGAAGCGCCCTACACAGCCTCTGTCCCCACAGAGGAGGTTTACAAGCCACAAGCCAGAGGTTTGTAGGGCAGCATCCCTCCCGTTCTCGCCTCACCTCCCCTGGGAACCCCCAATGACCTGACATACAGACTCTGGTGACCCCAAAGGCAGCTGGCACAGGAAGTGGGCTCCAGAAACTCCTAGTGGCCTGTAGTTTTGTTGCTATTTTCTACCCGGGTGACTGGGGTTTACTTTAAGGGGCAGGGGGACAGGAGAAGCAGGTAACTCTTCTCAATACTGAGGGCCCAAAGGATGGGACTTTGGAGTTCTGCTTCAAGCAGGCCACTGGGAAGAAGCCCACTGGTCCAGTCCCTATGCAAAAGTCACCATCTGGGACCACCTGTTGGGCCTCTCTCCCTTCCATTAAACTCAGCCCTGCCTCACACACCAATAAACCAGAGGCTGCACTTCCGCTGACCTCTGCAAAGAGGCAGCTTGCTGGTGGCTGGGGCATCCTCCTCAGCCCAAAGCCCTTTCGAAAATGCTCACTTGACATTTCTGCTTCAAGATGGGGTGGATGTTTAATGTCCCTATGCCTCCCACTAAGCACAAATAAAAGCCTGGACACTGCATGTTAGACAAACCTAAGGAGACTTGGAAAGCGGGAGAGAAGACTGCAGAGGGGCTGGGTACTCAGGAGTCGAGGCACCACCGGGAGCTGTGCAGCCTGGGTTTCTTTTGGCCTCACTGTCCCAGATTGGGGTCTGGAGGAGAGGCCATATGGAAGCACCAAGAGACACAGACAGAAAAAGCCCCAGAAAAGGCTCTCCCTAGTCGAAGAACCAGGGAAGGGACGACTTGGCAAAACAGAGAACTCTTACAGAGTAACCAGCCTACCCAAGCTGGACAGAAAAGACACCGCCACACTCCCACCATCCCCCAGCAAAGGCCAGACTTCCAGAGACTTCCTACTCAGTAGGGCGAGGTGTTGGGACAGCAGGCAGGGGCCTGGGACTGCCCTGCCCACCCAGCAATAAAGGTCCCCTCCCCCTCCCTAATATCCGAGGAGGACACCTGAGGGGCTGCACCCCGCCCCCTATGGCAGCAACCACGCACCTCCTGCCTCAAGTGTCCACGGAGCCCAGTGAGGAGTCAGACTCCTACCTCCACCAAGAGGCAGGAGGCAGCAGCCCTGCTTCCCCTGCTGGGCAGTGCTAGAAAAACCCGACTGAAAGAGAAAGGTCAAACACAGCCCAAAGTCACCGAGCATGACACAAAACTGTCCAGGGTGAAAAATCACCATGATACCAAGAAGCAGGAAGGTCGATGCCAACACCAGGTGTCAGGCATGTCGGAATTATCTCATGGAGGTTTAAAGCAGCCATGCTACATGGTTCAACAACAAATTATGAACATGCTTGGAATACATGAAAACATGAGAGCCTGAGCAAAGAAACAGAAGCTGTAAAAGCCAGGTGAAAATTCTGAAACTGAAAAATACAATAACTAAATCAAAAGCTCAACAGATGGGCTCAAAAAGCAGAAAGATGGGAACAATGGAATGAATCAGTGAGCTGGAAAACAAA